TATAAATCTACTTCAAAGATTTTATTCTTAGCCACACTCTCATTCTAGGCCACATTTCTATATCAATGTGTGTATTCTACTCAAGGCAAGTCTAAAGGCAAAAATCATTTTACTGTGGCAATCACCAGCCTTTCAAATTGAGCAGTGGCTCCTCTGATAGACCACCAGGTGATGTAGCAAGACTTTGCACTGTCTCTTTGGTCATTCCTTACTCTTACAGCATCTATCCTACCTGTTGTCTTGTCCAGGGTCTTTATTCCACCTCTCTAAGATTTTATCCACTAAGGGAATCCACTGAACTTGCCCCGCCCCTGCATTTTCAAATGTGCAATTGATGTTTGTAGGAGTTCTTAAACGCTGAACAGTGCCTCAACAGAATCATGCAGAAACTGACTTTGCTGACTACTGTGTCTCAGTATCTTTAGGTTTGGAATAGGGTGAAGAGTTGTTTAAAGATTCTCAGATGGTGGAGACCTGGCTAGATTGGGAAGACACCAAACAGGCTATGGGGAGACACAGAGCAGGTTGCATACACTTTTTGCTTACAAATTCCAAATGTCCATTCATGCTGTTTGATATTTACATGAGTGCACTTACTTCTCAGAAAAGGACATGTGGGGTATACTTCCTAGAGCTTCTCAATGAGACAAGCCATCTGCCTCACTTGTGGTCCTCACACTTCACCTCTCATTGCTGGAACTATTAACACACTCCACTGGGGGGCATGCCACGCTGGAGAAGAGGTGGTACAGCTCATTTGTAGCATACTGGAGGTACTCCAAGATTTCATCCTTGGTAACTTTGTTTGTCCATCTAATACACACCATGCATCATAAATTGCACTGTTGGAGAGTTTGCATAGACAGTGGTGTGATCCCCAGAAGACTGGACTGTCAGTTATATAACACTGTGTACATGAATGTGTGTCTCTCCCAGTGGGCACAACATTTACAATTCCAAAGAATAAAGAGAATTTTAATGCCTTCAATGTTTGCTTCCATGACCATGCAATGTACATAATTTATAGAAGATTTCTTTGGTTCTGGTTAACTTTTCAGTAGTTCTTGAAGGAAATCTCACTGAATGAAGCAGACATTTAAGCAACACCAGGACAGCAATCAAAACACAACATGGAACAGCATATTAACAAACAAATACACATACATTTATATAGTGTTGCTTGATGTGCTAGCAGCTTATACATATAACATTAATGTATACATAGACAGTATTAAATTTAAGTTTGTATATGATTTTACCTCAAAGATATCTTATTCAGTAAAATGGTAGGCATATAGTTTCCATATAATCATGGACCCATGGGAATAATCGAAGTAATAATCAGAAAGCAGGGGGTAGGTAAGACTGGTTACATCTTCTATATCTTGTGTGTCTATGAGTAGGTCACTAAGAATCTCTAAGACTTCACTTACTCAGTCTTAAAAATGTATTTATCCCTAGTATATGAATGGACATTGGGAGTCCATTCCACATACAGGGATACTCTCTCAGCTTAGACACATCGAGAGAACCTAGGCACTGCTCCAAATGATATGACAGACTTTGAGGGTCCCACATGGAAGGCTTCACCCTCCCTGGGGAGAAGAAAGAGGATGGGATGGGGGCCAGTGGGGGACAGGGGAGGAGGAGAGGGAGAGGGAACTGGGATTGACATGTAAAACAAACTTGTTTCTAAATTTAAATTAAAAATGAGAAAAAAATCCTCATTTGGGGGACTTCTTTGTGCATTGAATGAGAAGGGCAAATGGGGAGACATTATAGATGCTTCAGCATTCTTCCTAAAATCAGAGAACAGTACTGAAATTTGAAATATCTAAATTCTCTGAGAATCAATATGGTATTTGAATCTTTAAATGATATGATATGGCTAACAGGGTGTTATTTATTTATCCAAGTCTTTTTAGATTATCAGATGTGATCTCTTGAATTGATTAATTGAAGTATATTATATTAACATTTTATCTCTAAAAACTATGTATAGATTTTTTTCTTTTTGTACATGCAAAGTCTTGATTAATTCACTCTCCCCATCTGCCTGTCTTTGACATTGCTTGTACCCTTCTGGCACCCAGTATTCTCAATTCCACTCTGTTACCACATGTTTTCTAAGACCTGCTCCATCCCTTTCTCTATTCTCATGGGCCTCTTTCTAGTTTCATAACCATGCTCATTCCTACATGAATACATGTGTATAAAAACTAAAATCTAGAGGAAGAACATGTAGTACTTGACTTTCTGAACCTCACTAGGTATAATTTGTTTCATCCACCTCTGGTAAATTTCATTTTTCTTTACTGCTCAATGAAATTTCATTATGCGTAGGAGCCACATTTTCATTATCCATTCATCAGTATGGTCATCTAGGCTGACTTCATATCCTTGCTGTTCTAAATAACCATGATATGGGTGTACATCCTCTGTCACAGGATACGTAGTCCCAGAAATGGTATGGCTGGGTCATATTCGAGTTCTATTCACTGATTTCCACCGTGGTCTTCTAGTTTGCCTTCCTGTCCGTGATGAAGAAAGGTTCCTTGTCCCCACATTCTCTCCAGTATTTGCTATAGTTTGGATTTCTATGGTAGTCCTTCTGGCTGGGGTGAAGTGGAATCTCCAAGCAGTCTAGTTTACATGTCTGCCACACTGTGCGTGTTTTCTGTTTCCATGACGACTGAAATATGTATTTCCCCAGATATTTTTCTCTACAAGGCCAAAAGTTCCTTTTCATTAATGAATAAAAGGCATTTTAAAATTTTTCCTAGCACAATGGACACAATAGCGTTGTTTCATAGTTTCATTTCTATTTACCAAAACCATGATTCATAACCATTTCTTCACCTTCTCTGTTGCCCTGTGACACACCACCAATTTCCTCATATGTGATGACATGTCTAATCCTCACAATAAGGTAGTAGAAGTTACTGTCACTTTAATGATGAAAAACTGAAGCACAGATTATGTAAGCAAGTTTCCCTTATACCATCTTGCAAGAGAAAAGATGTTAAACTGGGCCCCGCAGCCAGCAGTCAGTATGAAGCCCACTTCATCTACGTCATGCTTTACTGCTAACCTTGCATATCTCCTGATATCTGCTTGGTGCTTCCAGAATGCAGCCTCTGGCCACTTGGTCCTTGGATTCCAATTGTAACCATCGAAGCACAAACTCTTTGACTCCTGACAGCACCTAACCTATGTCTCACTATACCTATATTGGAAGGGAATTCTGCTCTCACGTATTAGAGATATTAAAAACAACAGTTCTCTCAGGAGTGGTTTACACATATTTCCAACCTAGATAACCTTTCATTTCATATCAGAAGTTAATTATGATAAGCCAAACTGATTTCTTTAAACTATGCAAAGGTTGAAGATGTGACTCAGTGGTAGCATACTTAATTACTACATTCAAGACCCACTCAACTCAATCCCTAGCACTGGAAAAAAATACACATCTAAGGAGACATTTGCATATTCATGTTATAGTTGCTCTATTTTGTATATTGAACTTATAAATACTAGTCAGTATCCACTTAAATTATCATCAGACTGTCATGGAAGTTCATATGTTTTCTAAACTATAACATCAGAATTGTACTGAATTGATTCAAGTGTCAGAAACTAGAAAACTTAATATAATTTAGTTTGAATGTCTAACCCTCATGGCAAAAGTTAAAACCTACCCATATAATATTAAAGCAAATTTTAGCTTAACTCAGTCAGATAACTCTTGTGTTCCTGCCATGGTACCATCATTATCCCAAGATCAATAATTTTTCTCACATAAAGTAAGTTTCAACTGATGATTGAATATTCTGAAACATTTTCTTACACTTTGTAGTCATGCCCACAGGCACATTCATATGTAAACATTGTAATAATTATTGTTAATAATAATAAAGAAATCCTTTCAGATTCACCTAGTAGCATGAAAGGAAACACCAAGTCCGTTCCTGAAGGCTAATCTTTGAAATGTTCAGGACACATTCTTTTTTCCTAAAGGGTGACATAGATAGGTAGATAGATAGATAGATAGATAGATAGATAGATAGATAGATAGATATGCTTATGCTTACTTTCAAATAATTACTCTTAATAACTTCCCTTTGGAGTGATTGGATTCTTGTGATAAATTATCATAGACTGAGTGGCTAAATGATGGCCATGCACAACTCATACTTTTGAGACTGGGAAATCCATGATCAAGGTGCAGGCAGATTTGCTTTGGGGTAAGGCCTTCTTCCTGGTGATAGTTTCCTCACTGGCCATGTGTGGAAGAGAGAGAAAGAGAGCTCTGCCCTCTTTCCCTATTTTAGGAGGATAGTGATCCCACTATGAAGATCCCACCCTTATAATAACATCCTCTAGTTCTAATTACTTCCAAATGGTTTTATATTGAGGGTAAGACACAGTCGGTCTTGACATTCTCTTACTGAGCTTTGTCCACATGGCATGTGTGTGTGTGTGTGTGTGTGTGTGTGTGTGTGTAAGTACACATCCATTAGATGCCAGAAGACAAAGTCAATTGTTGTTGTTATTTCTCAATCCACTTGTATTTGTTGAGATGGGGTTGCTGTACTGGAACTTGTTGAGTAGGCTGTAGTGGCTGGCCAGCAAGCCCTAGGGATTCATCTGTCTGCCTCCTCAGCACTTGATTAAAAAAGCATGCCACCACACCTGGCATTTTCTTACATGGTTTTTGGAGATCAAATTCAAGTCCTTGTGCTTATAGGGCAAGGACTGGCTACACTGGGCTGTTTCTCTAACTCCACATGATATCTTTATAATATTTTAAACCAAATTTTCTTTCAAAAGTCAGGCTTTCTCCAACTTACCATGTTCCATGCTCCCTAGTTATCTTACCTTAGATACTCTCAGTGATGTGGACTGCAAAGCTTCTGTCGGTATTTAAACTTGAGTTTGATATTTCCATTGTCAACCAAGATTCAGGTATTAAAATACTCTTGTTCTTTCTCTTACAGGATGGAGAGCCTAATACGGGGAAGGAATCCCCCACAATATCAGCGAAGTCCCTGTAAGGAGGCTCGTGCTGCACTTCGGAAGAGGCCTGAAGAGGAGTGTAAGTGTCTAATCATAGCAACATGCTCTAAGTATATTTTTGGTGAATGGCACAAAAAAATGAACAGGTTCACTTTTAAAAGCTCAGGCAAATTAGAGATATATTCAATAAATATATGTTAAATTGACCTTTTTAAATTATAATAAATACAAGTGTTGCAAGCCCCATTTTCCTATGAGTACTCCTCTGGTACTTTAGGGACTTCCCATGACATTTGAATTTTGTGTTAAATGAGAACAGAAAAGTCCACACAGTACTCTTGAGTCTTTCAAAATCTCTCTACACCATACATACTAATGTTCTGAGGAGTTCTCAGGTAAAGAATCTTATGAAATGTGCTGAAAATCAACATTTTATAATTTCCTTTAGACTACAGTTCTCTTATGAACATTTTTCTTTCTTAAAATGCCACACTCTTTGAGAAAATCTGTGCTTATAGAGAATTAGATGCCAAAGGGTAAATGTGTACCCATTTATCAAACTGAAATTTTTGATTTAATGGAATTTAGTAAAATGTTTTGAAACTAGGATGTTACAAATGACACTGTAAAAACACTTTAATCCAGCCTCAAATTATTTTATATCAGAATGTGTAGTCAGCTGTAGAGATTTTATTTAAATATTTATATTCCATAGCCTGTAACAGATTGTTGGAGGCTTTTGACATCATATTCACATTTGAAGTTTGTGACATGACTCGTGATACTAACTTTCCTTGTGATATTTGCATATAGTTATTTTTGGCATACTAAATTATGTTCCATTATGACAAACATTCATCTGAATTTTGTCCAACTTTAAGAACTTAGATTTCATAACTATGAAGTTAATGCTGAGCTCCACAAGCATAGATGTCACAGTGGATTATTAACTTTATATTTGCATTTTAAATTAGTTTGAAATGTGGATAAGGATCAAATACAAAGCCTGCATTCACAGGAAGTGAAGCACTTTCACTGTGTGTTGTGCAGTAAAGTCGGTGTAGACCTCTTTGTAGTGACTTCTATGCCATTCAATAAAGTGTTGATCATTTTGCATGGTGGATTTGTGTCCTATTACCATATAAACAATATCCAGTAAAAGCTAAAATGTGAAAGTGAAGATGCTGTTCAACTATAAGCACTCATGAGGATTGTTACTTTTAAGTACTACCTCTTTTACTAAATTCATAGGAAACAATGGACTCTCTCCTCTTCTGGTTCAATACCTCATCATCATCTCTGATATAGGTCTATAGATTTTGCCTAAAAACTTGGAAGTAAGATATGTGAGTACATTTGTAAATGGTTCCCGGATATTTGCTGTTTAACATTAATAGTGATTTCCGTGAGTGCCCTTTTAGTGATTATAAAAGCCAATAGTTACTCTACTATAGGTCACTATGGTATCCATTCTGATGCCTCTTTCCATAAGGAAGACTTTATGGAAACACAGGTATCACATATTTGTTTAGATGTTCCGCATATCTACTTTTGGCTTCACAGAAATACTCAAGTAGTCACAACTCAGGCCAAATGTTCCACAGAACAAAGCCAAAGTCCTTTATCTGTTTCTTTATAGGAACATTGTACTTATATACTTATTTTGATTCTTTGAGACAAAGATTCACTAGGTAGCCCAAACTGGCCTCCAACTGATGGCATAACAGGCCAGCCATCCCACGTGGTTTGGGAAAGATATGAACTTCTTTCTGAAATAGTGGTTCTTAAATTGTGACATCTGAGCCAGCAGCAGGTAGATCACCTGGGGGCTCAATAGATGAGCAGAGTCAAAGCCTTAGGACCAAACTTGCTGAATAAATATCTCAAGATTAGAGTAGTGGTCTGTAGTTGAAGAAGCCATATTTGAGACTGTGATGTAAGGTTAAGTCTGAAAGCCACCAGCTGTGCAAATGATTGATGGCAGATGATAGTAAGCCATCAACTTCACAAGACTAATGATGATAGATATACTATTTCATACTTGAGACTTACTTCTTCCTGGTGTAAACTATATATGTTTATTAAGATACTTCATCTGTAGCTAAGAATTTTATTACTATAATTGCTGCAACTCCTCACCAGAGGACTTACACACACACACACACACACACACACACACACACACACACACACACTTTTCTTTCCCCAAAGATCTAGATTGCCCCTTGTTAATATAAGAATGAGAAGTCCTCCCTGTGCTTTGATGGGGAAAAACTATTTTCTGATAAAAATACACAATCTTTTTAATAGTAGAGACAGAACATTGTGGTATTTAATACTTTTGAGGCTTGTGAAAAGGTCTATTCTCTATCACAACACATGTAACAATAACCGACTGCAGTTCACTGTGTGTTATTTTCATTAGAAGACTTGGTTTATATACTTCTAAAATAAGGGTGATGGTGGGGCACAGGACTATTGTGAGATGAAGATTTATAAGAATTGTTGTTTTGCATAGAGCCTGGAGCATAGAAAGTTTTCTTCAGCCCTCCTATTTCTTCTCCTTCCTTTAATTCTGTCTCTTTTAGCTTGCTAATATTACTGTCTTATGTCAAGTTAATCTTTTGCTTGAGGATAATACAATAAATTTTATATCAAAATTGCAAGTAATCCAAAAATTCATAAGATTCTATCTTCAATTCCCAGCACTGTCAAAAACTGAAAATCCCTGTTATTCCTTTTTATAGAAAAAATGATGTGTGGATTAGTGCAAGCTCCATACAGATGGCATCAAGCTGACCTTGCAACCATTAGACTGTATTTCATGTCATCTTTCAGTGCAGCTAGCAAATGGTGCAGTTATGTCCTCTTGATTCCACAGGTTTGGCCTAGGATCCATCCCACATTGTCTTCTCAGTTCCTAGGGTAACCTGCCACCTCAGAAATCAGCGTCACAGAAAGTCTGGGAGCATTATCTACCCATCAAGGGAATAGAGAGGGATGTGGAGTTTTGTGCAGATGACAGGATCTCTTTGTGGAGGGAGGTTTTGATAAATGGCATATTTCACACTGCTGTCTTTGATAACCTATAATCTTTTATAGTGTATTCAACATTGAGATCAACATTAGGTCACAAGACACTGCTTTCAGCTGGTTATTAAATATTAATTTCATCGAGCTGTGCTGCAGCTAGCAAGGCTGAGCAAACATTCATAAAAAATAAGTTGATTCTTGTACAAACAGACTTTTAGACATGGCCAATTTATTCCTTATTTTAAAAAAATGTTAGGTGGAAATATGTTCTCAAAACCACATCCCTGATCAACTGAAAATGCCTGTCTGTGTTCTGCTCCAAAGAGCCTCCTCTGGCAGCGCCATTTGCTTGTTTTACACTTGCTCCTTCAAACAAGTCTGATGGGACTCCAACCCTGTCACTACCCTAGGACAGCTCCCATTCATATCACCAGAAACCTTCGTGTTGCTGTAAATCTTTTCTATTTCCATGTCACCAGCCATAATAAATCCTCTGACTAAATTGCTGTTTATTATCTCTCAGTTACGAGTCAAGAGTTGAGTCCTAGGTTCCCAGCTTGTGTCTTACCAGAAGCTCAGTTTGGGAAGGATCTATTTCTGAATGCTTTCAAGCTGCTGGTAGAATTTATTTCTTAGAGATTTGACGACCAACTACTCTTACTGGCCGCTATCCAGATGCCTTCCATTTGGGGCATTCCTAAGCAAGAATAAGACTCCATGTGTGATTTCTTGGGGGCTACCCCCCCCTGCCAAGTGTAAAAGGAGCAAAGAGTTTTTTTTAAGTATAGTTACACAAGAGGCTATCTGGCCTCCAATGTGTGTGTGGTTTTTTTTTATATCTTGGTCAACAATTAAGTGATCATAGCTGTGTGGGACTATTTCTGGGTCCTCTGTTATTTTCCATTGTTCTCTATCACCATGATGCATTTGTCAGCGTGTTTCTTTAGCATAAATTGAAGTTAGGAATTTTGCTGCCTCTAGCTGTTCTTTTTGCTTAAGATTGATTTGACTATCTGTGGTCCTTTGTGTTTTCACATGAATTTTAGGATTGTGTTTTCTAGTTCTGTGAAGAATGGTCATTGGAATTTTGATGAGGATTGTATTGACTCTGTATGTTATTTTTGGTAATACAGCCATTTCTGATGTTCAGGAGGATGACAGGTGCTGCCAACATGTGGATTCTTCAATTTATTACTATTATTATTATTATTATATATTAAAGTTTTTCACCTCCTTAGGTAGGTATATTTCTAAGTAGTTTTTAAGCCATTATAAATGGGATAAATTTTCTTAATTTTTTTTCTGAGAAAGCTTGTTGTGTTGGCTTATTCCTTACAACTTTCCTGAAAGTGTTTGTCATATTCAAAAGTTTTCTGGTAGCATCTATAGGATCTTTCATGTATAGAATAACATCATTTGTAAGTCAGCACAGTTTGATTTCTTTCTTTCCCGTTTGTATGCCCTTTTTATCTGTCTCTTATTGCTTTAGTTAAGATTTAGAATGCTGTATTAAATATGACTGGGGAGAATGGATATCCTTATCTCATTCTAGAGTTTAGAGTAAATATTTGGAATTTTTACCCATCTAGTATGATGGTAGCAGTAGGTTTGTTGTACATAGGTTAGTTTATTATACTGAGATACATTACATTTATTCTGGATTTTTTTTCAGAAACCTTATTGTGAAGGCACTCTAAATTTTTCAAATGTCAATTCTAGCAATAAATCATGTGATTTTGAGGATTAAATTCATTTGGCATATTGCAGTTATTAATTTATGTGTATTGGACCAACAGTGAATTTCTCAGATAAAACTAACTTGGTTATGGTATGTGGTCTCCTTAACTTGTTTTTTAATCCAATTTACAAATAACTTGCTGAAAAAATTGTGTTCATGTACATCAGTGATATTGGACTAAAGGGGGTTTTGTTGTTATTGTTACTAGTTTTGACATCAAGACTAATAGTGGCTCTGTAGAAATACTTTAGTACTATCCCTATCCTTTCTATTTGGTAGAAGAATTTGAGAAGTATTTCTAATGTCTC